CAGGGAGGGCCGCCGGAGGGGGAGAGGCAGGTGCAGGAGGAGCACTACTGCGAGATGCTGTGCTGCTCGTTCAAGCACCGGCCGTGGCTGGACCGCCTGAAAAACTACCAGTTCCCCAGCAGCATCGACCCCCTCACCAGTAAGTGGTGGAGCACGGCCGCTGGGCTGGGGACAACGGGCTGGGGAGGGGATGAGGAGGGGAGCAGGTGAGATGTAAGAGATGAGACCTTGTAAGAGGAGGACAACTAAGGAGCAACTTAGCTAATGAAAACAAAACAAAACAAAACAACCTCAATGTTTTAAATTCCCCTGCAGGGCACAAGGTTTCCTAAAGACTTCCCAATGGCTGTGGGTGTGAGGAGAATGACCAAGCAGGGAAAGGGCAGCTGCCTTCTGCTTTCCAGCCTTTTAGTGGTCAAATGCTGTCCCTGTGGTGTGGACACCCCAAATGACAATCAAAATCACAAAAGAAAAATCCCCTGTTCGGTGGATGTCCCACAGGAACCCAGCTTCTCCCTTAGTCCTTGCTCTTCAGCTGGCTAAGGTGGGGAAAGCAAAGCAAGAAAGGTGGAATTGTGGGAGCAAAGCCAAAGCAAGTCTGGCTGAACCAGCAGAGTTAGAAGAGGCTTTCTGGTAAAAACCAAGGTGCTCTGCATGGACATGGACAAGGACATGGAGCAGGTCCAGAGGAGGCCATGGAGATGATCCAAGGGCTGGAGCAGCTCTGCTCTGGAGCCAGGCTGGGAGAGTTGGGGTGTTCAGCCTGGAGAAGAGAAGGCTCCAGGGAGACCTTAGAGCAGCTTCCAGTGCCTGAAGGGGCTCCAGGAAAGCTGGGGAGGGACTTGGGATAAGGGCAGGGAGTTAAGAGGACAAGGGGGAATGGATTAAAACTGGAAGAGGGGAGATTGAGATCAGTCATTAGGAAGAAATTCTTTAGTGTGAGGGTAGTGGAACACTGACCCAGGCTGCCCAGAGAGCTGGAGGAGGCCCCATCCCTGGAGACATTCATGGTCATGTCCCTCACTGGAGAGGGGGGTTGGACTAGATGACCTTTGAAGCTCCCTTGCAACTCAATGCATTCTGTATTCCATGCAGCTGTTGGTGTTTGCTCTCAGCCCAGCAATTGCCACTAAATGCTGTCACTCAAAGCTCTGCTGCACGGTTCCTCCTCACAGGACAGGGGATGCCAACACTGTTGTGTGTTCATGTGGACAAGGGACATGTGCCCAGCTAACAGTGGTGGGGTTCCCTCTGTGCAGACCTGATGTACGTGCTGTGGCTCTTCTTTGTTGTCATGGCCTGGAATTGGAACTGCTGGTTGATCCCTGTCCGCTGGGCCTTCCCCTACCAGACGCCGACAAACATCTACTTCTGGCTGCTCATGGACTACATCTGTGACCTCATCTACCTGCTGGACATCCTTGTCTTTCAGACCCGGCTGCAGTTTGTCCGGGGGGGAGATGTAATAGTGAGTGACTGCTTGCTGGATTTCATGGCTGGGGACCTGCTGTCCCTGTTGCCCTGAGTGGCACAGGTGGTGCTGGTCACTCATCTCTGAATGGAGCTCTCTGTGCTCTCCCACCATGGCTGAGGCCATCAGGGCTGTGTGCACTCTTGGATGCAGGCATCTCTCCTGTAATGCAGTAGACAAGCCAAGAGTTATTTTGTACTCCAACCATACGTATTTTTCCTCACAAGTCCACACCAGCCCATCCAGCTTGTGGTCCATGACAGCCCCATTCCTAGGGCTGGGGAGGTGTGTTGGGAGGGTGCTGCTCCATGGCTGCTCCTGCTGGTGTTGCAGGGTGGTGCTGTACATGCTGACCAGCCCTGACACTGCTAACCATGAGCAAGGGGCAGGATATGCTCTGGGTTTGGTTTCCAGGAGCTGGGCCAGGCAGCCATCTGACAAACCTGACTGCAACCTGAATGTGTAGATCATGCCCCTGAGATAATGAAAACCCTTGATTTTGTTTCCATATCCAATTAAACAAGCTGTGAAAAGTAGAACCTTGAAGGTACAGCCTTCCCATGTCCCAGGCAAATGCTCTCACAGGGAGAATTTGTCCTGGAGACTGATTGTGCTAGTGCTGGTGCTGCCATGTGCTGTTTCTGGGATGCGAAACAAGCATGGGATGTGCTGAGATGGAATGGGAAGTTGACACATGGCCGGGCCTTCTGCTGCCCTTGCGCTGCTTCCCTTCCCAGGCACAAAGGCAGCATCCTTCCTGTTGAGGAAAGCCAGGCATGACCATGTCGGCCACAGCTTTCCTTTCTGTGAGCAATGATTAGTCTTTTCTCTCTCTCCCTCCTCTTCTCAACCAGTCTGATAAAAAGGCCATGAAAGAGAATTACCTGCGGTCACAACGCTTTAAGGTCTGGTGCAATTTTAGTTATTAGTCTGGATATTTAATCTGAAGTGAGGCTTACAGCTTCACCCTGGCACGCTGACAGGTCCCCACAGGGGTTTCCTTCTTTTTGCCTATTGCAGATGGATTTGCTGTGCCTCCTGCCCCTGGATTTCTTCTACTTCAAAGTGGGTGTCAACCCCCTCCTGCGCTTTCCTCGCTGTCTGAAGGTGAGTTGGAGCTCACACAGTCAGGCCAAACATCAGTAGCAGTGGTGGTGAGGGAGTCGTGCACTGGTTTGGGTCAGCTACAGCTTGCTAGGCTCATCCATGATGCCAAGAGTATTGTAAAATGGATGGGAAGTCTTGTCCCAAAGGCTTTGCAGGGCTGTTGGTCAGACACTTCAGTTCCACCCTGAACCACACTCACATCTCAACAGAAGGGCACTTCTAGATGGAGCCAAACCTGCCGGTGGCAGTTCCTGCTGCAGAGAGGCTGCAGGAGGAAGATGAGGGGCAAGGGGGCATTTGAGGATGTGACTCTGCCACCCAGGACTGGGGGAAACCGGAGCACTTTCCTTTCCTTCTCCTCACAGTACATGGCCTTCTTTGAGTTCAACAGCCGCCTGGAGGCCATCCTGAGCAAGGCTTATGTCTACAGGTGAGAGCCGGGAGAGAGGGAGGAAGCGAGGCTGGGTTTTCCTAGGGAGGAAGCTTCACTTGGTTGTCACCCATTCCAGGTCTCTGATTTATTTTACCCTGAACCTGTGGATGCTGGCTGGTGCAGGCAGGATGTGGGGGTCCTGGAGACAGTGTGGGTTGGATCACCTCTCCCTGAGCCTGTGGGGACAAGGGTGCTGGTGGTGAAGAGAAGCCACCAGCAGATAAGCTGCTTTCTCTAGCACTTGTGGAGCTTTGGGAGGGATCAGGGGGGCCACACATTGGGTGCTCTGTGAGTCCCACATGGTCAGCACTTGGCTCACCACAGAATCATCCCAGACTGGCTTGGGTTGGAAGGGACCTTAAAGCTCATCTAGTTCCAACCTTCTGCCAGGAGCAGGGACACGTCCCACTGGATCAGGTTGCTCAAAGCTCACTGTGATGCTGGGAGGTTCTGGCATGTTTCTCCCAGCAGGGTCTCCCCTCCTCCCACCAGAGGGTCTCCCCTCCTCTCTTTTTTTGCAGGGTAATTCGCACCACTGCCTACTTGCTGTACAGCCTGCATGTGAACTCCTGCCTCTACTACTGGGCATCAGCTTATGAAGGACTGGGCTCTACCACCTGGGTCTATGATGGGGAAGGAAACAGGTACAAGCTAGAGCTTGGGTGCTCACATAGCACAGGTTGCTGCTCAGGGTGGAGCAAGAAGGAAGGGGTTAGGATGGCACTGGGTTCATCAAAACCTCTGATGTGGGTTGCAAGTGTCAGGAGATGATGAGCCAGAGAAAATGCTGGGGACAGGAAGGATGGGTTGTGCAGATGAGATGCAAGATGAGCTATGATGGAGGGCAATGGCTGGTTGAAGAGGCTGAAAAACTGTGAGTCTGGTGCTGGGAAACATGGAAACACTCCCTGACTGAGCAGGATGGTGGTGGTAGGGCCTGTTTCTGTTCACGTTGACTTGCTGTCAAGTTGGGATGGAGTCTTGGAGCTGTACTTGGACATGCAGTGTGCCTTGGACCTAAGGGCTCAATGCGCAGCATCACTAAATCAGGTCCTGGGTGTGTGTCAGACCCTTGGACCAGCCCAACACCTGCATTGCCAGGAACAGTGGCCACCCTGCCCCCTTGCTGTGGCATTAGTGGTCACTGTGAAGTGTTCCTTGTGCTGTGGGTGATGGGTGCCCCAGGGGGACAAGCTTGAGAACTGCCTCAGGCAAAATGCCCACAGCTGAGAGTTCTGCAGCCCAGGCAAAAGAAAATCCTGAGCAAAACTTCCCTAATTTAGCTCCATGCAGTAAATTAGCGTTTCCTGAAAAAGTCCTGGGCATTAAAGCCTTTCTGTGAGGTGTAAGTGGGGACAAGTGGCTACAACCCAGGCAGCCTCAGTGTGAGTGTTGCCTTCCCCCCCAGCCCTCAGCTTCTCACCTTGTTGTTCCTGCTCTGTAGTTACTTTGCACATCTGCAGCTCTCAGTGTAACTATAACACCCAAGGGAGTGCCCAAGACCAGTGCCTGAAGAATTCCTTTGATATCTCCCAAGCCAACAATTTGCTCACAAACCCCTTTTTCCCCCTTGACTATTTCTAAAAGTTTAAATGTTGCGGAAAATACGGTGCTGGTTTGTAGCAGTGGGGCTGAAAAGAAGCAAAAAATGGGAGTAGCCAGAGCAGCTGAGCATCCTCTGCAGAGGTTCGTGGGGGGTCCCCACATCCCCCTGCCCCTGGAGCACCTTCAGAAGCACCTACAGGTGTGATGGGGAGTCTGCAGCCCCTTCATTTCCCCTTTGTCACCCATCATTACTCCCAGCAGGCTCTGCCTTGCCATGGCCAGAGGATGTGAGCTCAGTATCGAGGGACAAAACAGGCCTTCAGGCTGGAAAGGTCTTCAAAACTGCCTCCTCTTTTCTTCCCAGCTACATCCGCTGCTACTACTGGGCAGTCAAAACCCTCATCACCATCGGGGGCCTGCCGGACCCCAAGACACTGTTTGAAATCATCTTCCAGCTGCTGAACTACTTCACAGGTGTCTTTGCATTCTCCGTCATGATAGGGCAGGTGAGTGGGGCTCCCAGGGAGTTCCACCTCAGGTGGGGGAGGCTTTGGTGGGGTTGGTCCACAGGTTTGTATCTGTGGGTTTGGTTTTCCTGTGCAACCACCTGCTCAGGCATGGTGGAAGACAAAAAGGACTTGCAGGTGCTGTTAGGGCTCAGCATACACGCCCTGGACTGCTGAA